GGGACGGCCCTCCCATAACATGTTATGGGTGTTATGGCTGTTATGGGCCCGCTGCTATGCCCAGAGAGCCATAACACCATAAATAACTGTGAGTGGGGACAACACCGCCGGCCGGGATGGAAGGTTCCTTGCCATGCGCCCTGCTTTCCATATCGTCAATCATTCTGTCTCTTCAAATTACAAGTACGGGCTTCTTCTTGAGCGCCTTCTCGTTCCACTCCTTTCTCCGCTCTCACATACACACTCTCCATACACTGGAGAGAGAGAGTCCCCCTTCTCCCAGTAAGCTAAAAGTAACGTACACTTGACTGGAGTGTGGAGACTGGACACGTACACACGTGCGTCACGCGTGCCCGCAAACAAACCAAAATCGCTCCACGAACAGGTTCAGGCCGCACATACACGCGGGCAGCCTTGGTCAACCGCCCGCGTATAGCGCCGCGTTCCGGGGGGGCCTCTGCGCTAACCGCTAAGCGCTATCTTCTCTCGGTCGTCTCCTCGAGGGACGACTCGAGCTGCTGAGAGGGTGAGAGAGAACCGAGCAAGACCAGGGCGCGGACTCGCCCGCACCTGCGCCACCTCCCGGCTCTCCGCCTCACGTCTACACACACACTACACTCTCCCAGTACTCAAAAACTCACTCTCACGTCTCACTCTCAGTCTCAGATACGTCAGACTGACAGTCAGGTCAGAGAGACGTCAGAGATCAGAGTGTGGGGAGAACCTTGTACCTTCGCGCGGTACGGGGTGTGGACCCTGAGTTGACCAGGGGTTGTGCGCTGGGCCCTCCTGCTCGGCTCCAGCCAGTAGACAAGTCTTGTCATCAACAGAGTAGAAGGATCTGACCTCGGGGACGATGTGACCAAGCGCTGGTAGCGTGGTTTAACCTCACACCCATGGTCTCACAGTGTGCCGGCAGTCGCCGAGCAGTGACCAGTGCGGTCGCTCACACAAGCCGCAGCACAAGTGACTGAGGGCCAGTGAGGGCGAGCCCATCGCTGTCACAGCTGTGGCAGCCGCACAGTAGGCTGTGTCAACTGTGCAGAGTGTGTGAGCAGCAGAGGAGCTGCTCTCCAGGCTTCTGTCGCAAAGAGCTGCATGCCACCGAAAGCGCTGTCGAGGTTCGCCGAGCGCGGCGAAATCCGGGGACACCGTCACCGACGAGTGCGTTGGAGTATTCACTCCGGACAAAGACGGCGACACGCACACGAGCCGCGGCCGTGTCGCCGTCCTAGCGGCGAGGCGCGGGACCGTCTGTGGCGAAGTGGGTCGCGTCCCCGGATTTCCTGAACTCACGGTCCGCTCCCTCTACGCTACCTCTACGGCTCTATACGTGCACGGTTTTGCGAGTGTCTCCTCGCGACGAGGAAAGAGAAGAAACCACACAAGGACACTACGTAACAAGGTACACAAGCTCACTCGCTCAAGTACACTTCTCTGTGGAGAGACTTCTTAACACTTAAGTAAAAACCCAGGGTGGGTGTTCAATACTTGGTGTACGTCAGGAAGAGGGCCTTCTCCTCCCGCCGCAGCCAGCGCAGTAGCTGGCTGCACGCTGCGGCCGCGGCCGGAAGCTGTATCAGCGGCCAGAGCGCCACGTAGAGCTCAAAGCCGGCGCCGCGCCACGCGACGACGAGCTCCGAGTCGGAGGCCGCAAAGTACTCGTGCGCCGGGCCGTCCCTGCCCTTGGCGTGCGTGCGGGCCTGCGCGCGCTGGTAACGGCGGAGGAGCCGCTCGAGTGCGGCCGGCTCGGCGTACGGGCTGCCGGCCGGGAGGAGCGGCGAGATGGACTGGCCGAGGGAGGTGGCCGTGTAGGCGTAGTGCAGCAGCTCGGGCACGCCGGCCGCCTCGAGCGGCGGCGAGGGCGCGGCGAGGGCGGCGGCGAGCGCGGAGGCGGCGGGTGGCGCGAGGGCGGCGAGCGAGGCGGCAAAGGCGTCGCGGTGCGCGGCGAGGGGAGCGAAGGCGTCGCGGTCGGGCGAGAGGAGGACGAGGCGGAGGTGCTGGCCGACGGTCGAGACGTGCGCGTGCAAGAAGCCGCGCTCATTGAAGTGCGGCAAGCAAAGCGGCAGCCAGGACTGCGACTGGTCGTCGGCAAACTGCCGGCCGCCCCTCCCCTCGCCGCCGCCGCCCTCGCCGCCTCTCCCCTCGCCGCCGCCCTCGCCGCCCTCGGCCGCCTCGGAGATCGCGTTGAGGAGGAGGAGCAGGTCCGATGCGCCGAGCGCCGCGCGCTGGCCGCGCAGCGCCGTGAGGAGCCGCCCGTGGCCGAGCAGCACGGCGAAGAGGAGCGGCGCCGGCCGGTTCCGCCGCAGCCTTCGCGTGAGCTCGCCGCGCAGCGCCGGCGGTGCTCGCATCGCGGGCGGCGCCTGCAGCAGCAGCGAGGGAGAGGAGGTGGCGCCGCGCAGCATCCTCTGCAGAGCGCGGTCGGTGCCGCCGAGGAGCGAGCGCAGGTCGAAGCCGGCGTTGCGCGCGAACACCTCCTCCACCTTTGAGGTGAGGACAGAGAGGAGCTGCGCGTGCAGTGCGGCCAGCTGGCGGGAGAGGTAGGGCACCGTGTCGCCGCACGAGGAGGAGGCGACGAGATAGAGCGGCCCACGCACGAGAAAGGCGAGCGAGGTCGCGCCCGCACGCACGTGCCGGATCTCGTCGCCGCCGCGCTGCACAAAGGACACGATTGCGGCGACAAGCGCGGCAAGATCGGCGACGGACGTCTCGTCGCCGTGCTGCAGCGAAAAGATGGGCTTGCCCGCCGAGGAGAGGACGAGGAGATGCCTGCCGCCGCGAACTTGGGACGAGCACAGCGAATCGCTGTGCGAGTCCGCTTGCGCTTGGTCAGACATTTATGGTAGAGCTGCGGTCACTAGTCCGATGCCGCCAGCCAGTCTGCCACCGACTCAAGACGCACACGCCTCCATCCACACCGCTCACTCAGAACACCGCAGACTTGCAAACGAGGTTGCCTGCTGGGACCTCTGTTTACTTTACGGCCCTTTCCCTGCGAACGCGCACCCCCAGGGCTAGGGCTCTCTTGCCCGCAACCCGATGCCAATCATCCGGCCCGCTGGGTGCGCTTCTGAGCTCCCCGGCCCTGGATGTGCGGTTAATGACTGCACTCCAAGTGCTCCAAGTGGGGTCGCCTCGTGAATAAACGAGTATAAACAGCGGTGTGCAAAATGCCAAGTGCGCGCGCCGCGCAGGCGAAGAGAAATCTTGACGAGCTCTCTGGGGGGCGCGAGGGCCCTAGGGGGTATCCGTGCGGGGGGGCGATGGGGTCCCATGGCCCGCCGCAGGCGCCGATTTTTTCGATTTTTCCCTCTTCTTTTTTGCGCATTTTTACTTGTTTTCATGGGAATCCGGCGTACTTGCGGCCATGCTATCACGCCTTGCGACAGCCTGTCGGCGCTGCTGACCGTGCCATGATGCACAACTGACCGCCTGCATAGCTCGCGGCCTTAGTATCAAGCATTCAGTGACGACCTGATCGTACGGCCAGTAGGAAGGTGTCCTTCCAGCTGCGTGCACGCTTCTGACGCAATGCGCGTCGCCTCGGATTGGCTGTTGGCACTCTCGAGGCTATGCCTACGCAGCCTCGCGCGCATGGGCAGTCAAGAGGGACCACGCACCTTCTCAGGACAGCGCCGGTGCCTCTCTCTTGGACCGGCAAACGTGGTGGTCTCGTGTCACCGATGTGGGACCAGTGCGGCATCGTGCCATCGACAGCTCTGAACTGCGCCTCACCACTGACCGGGAAGGCCGCCAAGTGGGCCAGCACAGGTCGCACATTGTGGCAGCAGTCAGCAGTGCATGTCTGATAGCTAGAGCAGCAGCGTCAGGGTCGCAGGGTCGGATCGTGTCAAGCCTCTCGCCCGGCCGGCCGCGTGCAGACGTCGGCCTGTCTGCTGTTTGGAGTGATCTGTCGGCGGTCAGTACGACCGATCAGGTCGGAGTTTTCTGATGGTTGGAGGGTCTATCTGTATGTACTCCTCGAGATCTCTCCAAATCTGCCCTCTGATTAACCTAGCTTAATCGGGAAGTTGGTGCTAACGGAGACTAACGGAGCCGGGGCCCCGTTTCCGCACTGCTGCGCGGCGCACGGTGCCTCCGGGGGCCCCCGCGCCCCCGCCCCCAGAGGACGAGCTGGGAGCTCCCGTTCACACTCGTCTCTGGCCTTTTCTCGGAGCCGCGCCTGCGGCGCGCCGTGGTTTCTTAGATTTTTGCAGAAATCGCTCGGCGTGGTTTCTTAATCTATGCGACACGCGCTTTGGCTAGTTCCATTTCACTCTGACACGCTAATCTTGAAAACGTCGAACGGAGCTCCGTGTTGCTCCCAGCGCCCTCCCCCGCGCTCCCTGCGGCCATGGCCGATGATACTAGTATGAGAGGTCATCTGGCTACCGCGAGCGCGACTCAACTCGCCGACGTCGTCCGATGATTGTGCCTCAAAGTCAGCCTCCGGAGGCTATCGTGGGGTCGAGCCGGCAGTAGCCGTGACATGTGGTTCCACCACCCCTCGTATGCTTTGCCTCTGACCGCCACCGTTCCCAGGCTGCCAAATGGGATGGAAAGGAAGGCTCGGCGAGCGTATAGAAGCGTGCTCGACCTCGTCGTGGCAACCTGCACGGCAGCGCTGGTAGGCGCGATGAGCGTCGTGCCACCTGACCCGAGACGGGTCGCACGCGTCGTACCGAGCGCGTCGAGACCGTGTCCTGATGTGATCTGCACGGGTGAGTCACGTCGGCGTCAAAGGAGCGACGTGCGACCTGTCAGAGCTTGATCTCCGATCTCAGCGGCGTCGAGTCGTCTCCGGCGCGCGACAAAGGTACATCCCCAGGACGCGCAGAGGCAGCTGCGATCCAGCGGAGTGGACGGTAACGCACCGCGCCACCTGCTGTGCGTTACCGTCCACTCGGCGGGGTCGCAGCTGCCTCTGGAAGGCACCCAGATGTACCTTTGTCGCGCAAATGGTCAAATCAAGGTTTTGTAACGCGAGCTGTGCCACAGTGAAATGGAACTAGCCTTTCTTATATTATAAAAAAAAAATTGCTAGCTCAAAAAACCGGCACACCAATCTCCCTTCCTCTCTCGATCCTCTCTTGGAGCTCCAGAGTCCACACCCCCCTGCCCCGGGATCGCGTACAAGCTATGGCTACCGTAGGCCACACTAGCGTCGCTGGGGGTTCCCTGCCCTAGATGGGAAGCTGGCCGCTGATCCGAAGACCGACTGCACCAGGGCGCCTAGATATACTCGAGGTGAGCGAGGGTGAAGTTACGCCTTAAATGCCGGCCTCTCTACTGTGGACCTTACTCCGAGCTCGTTGGCTCCTCCTATTCCCCCACCCCCCCTCCCCCCCCACTCTCTCCGAGCAAGGGCGTGCGCTACGTCCCCAAGGGGGGGGGGACGTGGGGGGGAGGTGTGGCGCTTAAGTTGTGGCGTTTGAGTTGTTGTGGGGCACCCAAACGGTTTCGGTTTTCCTCCTTGGTGCCCCGAGTAGAGCGCGATCTCCCCTGGAGTCTGTCGCGCCCGTTCTGTCTAAGCTCGAGGTTCAACCTTCCAGTTGATCCTTATCGGACTGGTGAGGTCTGCCTAGCCGTCGTAGTGTAGTGCCTGGGGTGCGTCTGCGTCGGTGCTACACACACTCGGCAGGACGCTGCTCTAGGTCGGTGCTGCTGGTCGTCGCTGTTTGTCAAGGTGATAAATCGTTTCTCTTTTGTGTCAACAAAATGACTCTCACAGTGACTTCTTTGTGTGGCCAAAAACATGTCCGAGATAAACCCGAACCCGGGCCTTTAGACAGAATGTTGGTCCCCGAACCACTAGACCATGAGCCTTACTTTGCTATCTCGCAATACATTTTCTTCAGCTTTTCTAGTATGATCTCGCCGTGGCAGCGGCGCGGGGCGCAAGCGCAGACCAGTCCTATGGCTTGGCCCTGGATCATGTGAGTAAGCATCTTGGAGAGTGTCTCTTGTCTCTTGTCCGGCGTGACTAGTGCCGATGATGCATGGACTAGGAGTGGCGGATTGTGGTCTGCTGCTACTGCCGCTGGTGCGCGTCGGCCTTCCAGCACCTGTCCGAATCCTTCGACCACGAGGTCTCTCTCGCTCTCCCCTCTCATCACAAAGGGGTTGCCTAGTGGAGACGGTCGCTGGATGTTAAACGGGATTAGGTGGCTCGGAAGAGGGTGGCGCTTGTGTAGCAGCATCACTAGGCCCTATGCGTTGTCGGCGGAGGTGGAGCCGCGGCGCTTCGCGTAGGCCTTTTCCGCTTCCTCCCGCTCTCGCTTCCGCTTCTCTCGCGCTTCGACGAGGCGGTTGCGCAGGGCTGCCGTCTCCTCCGCGGACTTGTTTGCGGTCGAGGGGCCGGGTGGGGGGCCGCTGAGCGAGCGGCAGTCGCACCAAACTCGGCTCAAGTCCCCCACCAGCCCTTGTTGCTGCAGCTGCGTGATGTGGTGCGCGACGACGCCGTTGAACCTCGCGAATGGAGGCAGCTTGAGGCACCTATATTCCGGAGTGGTTTTCTTTTTCTGTGATTTCTTTTGTGCGGTCTGCTGCGACTCGTGCTTGGAGCAGAAGATGGACTCGCGGCGGGAGAAGAGGTCAAACTGCCAGGAGCGGCCGTCCTTGTCCGCCACGTGGATGCGGCCGTCCGCCTTGGTGATCGCGGGGAGGCCCTTGGGGTTGTGGATGAGGACGTCGTGCAGGGCGTCGAATTGGACCTGTTTGCAGTTTGGTGGATTGGTGGAGCAGTCAAGGGCGGGAGGAAGGGTGGGGAAGAAGGGGGGTCTGTGCCTTGGTGTGGCACCCGAACAGCTTGGTGCCCGGGGCCGCGCCGTCGAGGCCTTTCGAGTACGGCATCATGATGCGGCCCGAGGCGAAGCAGACTTCCTGAATCGCGGTCACGAGAGGGCGCGCCCAGACGTGCATGGGGACGTCGGGCGGGGGGGGCGGCGTGGGTGTGAAGCCCAGGAGCGTGTTGCTCGCCGCCGAGTGGCTCTCGTCGTGCTGCCACGCCATCGCGGGCTTGCCTCGGATGCCGGAAATGGGCTCGATGCGGATGGCCGCGCCGGAGGTCGTCTGGCAGTCCGCGCGCGGCTTGATCATGCAGATGGGATGCTGCATCGGGGGGGGGGGAAGGGGGGATTCTGTCTTTGGTCGGTAGGGAAGAGTTGTGGGTGGGCCGCTATAGGGCCTTCGACTCGTCGTCCCGCTTGACCGTGATGTCAACATAGAAGCTCATCGCAGTGATGTTGAACGAGAATCCCTCGAAGGCCTTTTGGACCGCCTTCCGGACATCGATCTCGAGGGTCGTCCCCCGCGGCGCCTGGAAGAGGTTGCGCATGGTGCGCGTCATCTCGGCCTCGTCCACAGACTCGGCGAGGAGGGTCGACTGCGGCATAATCTCGACGCGGAAGTGGACCTTGTTCTTGTCCTTGGATTTGGTGACCTCCTTGGTCTTCTCCTTTAGCGCCATGGTGAGGTCGACCACATTCATCGTGATCTTGGCGCCGGGGGGTATGTTGCACCGGTCGCCTGTGAGGGTCGTAGGACGGAGGGGGGGGGGGGGGGGGTGAGGGATATTTCTTTATTTGGGCAGGGGAGGGGTTTCTTTTCCGCACCGTCGAGGTAGGTGGCGACGAAGCCGTCGCTGATGGGCAGTGGGATGCCCGGCGACGCAAAGCGGGTCAGCATCGCGTCGAAGTCGACCATTTCGTCCGAGCTTGAGAGGTAGTAGGTGTTGCGGTTTTGGTGCAAGTTGAATTTTGCCCCCTCGTACTCCATGTCGAGCGTCATGCACTCCACAACGGTCCCCACGTGGGTGTTGTTCATGTGGGTCGTCTCGATCATCAGCGCCTTTTCCACGTACGGGAGGGACTCGCCCATCGCAGCCTGCATTCCCTATGGCAGAAATTCGCGGCTATATGAGCAGCTGTAGAGGTGGTTGTGCATGAGTTGGGTTCTATCGGTTCGAGGGGCTCTTGTTTTGTGGGGAGTCTCGGGTTCGGGTTGTGGGTGTCCTTCGCGGAGCGAACGCGTAGCGCGCGAGCGCACGCGCGTGCGTGTGCGGAGCGCGTGCCGTGCAGCAAGCGAGCGAGCGCAGCGCAGCGTCAGCGTCAGCGTCAGCTTCTGCGCTGCGCTGCGTCGCGAGTGCGCGCGTCGGATTTTGTGCTATGCTCTGTTGCGTGTGGTTGGTGGGCGCGTGTTCGCTCGTTTTGGCGCTGTTCTGAGTGCAGGTTTGGTCTCTGTGAGTGGCTGTGTATCAGTGTTTTGTCGACGCTTGTTGGGGCAGGCCGAGGGAGTGGCGGCGCGCGCCATAAAGGTGCCTGCCGGTTGAGGCGGTGGTGCCGGTTCGATCCGCACGCGCTTGCTCGGGGACTCGCTCCGGGAGTCGCTCATCGGCTGGTGGTTTAGGGCGACTAGACTTCGCACTGGCGCCGGAGGCCCCAGATATGAAGAAAAGTGCGCCCGTGATCTCGAGCGTCCAGGAAGTAAGCATGCGTGAGGGGTCAAAGGCGTGTTCAGTAAAATTCAATACAAGCGACAGAGCGCAGCCGCAGGACCGCCAGGAGCGACTACACCACAACCCCCAGAGACGTAGTCGTAGAGTACAACTCCACTATATCTCTCGGCGAGTCAGAGGGATCGCGACGAGTCCCCGCGCAAAATGCGCATCTCCGATATCGCAGCCTCCCGAGCACAGCGTCATGACCCCTCCCCCCCCGCCAATCTCTATCCGCCCGGCCGCTCCGCCGCCGCCCACTGCTCTGAGGCTGCACCATGCATGGCCTGCAGCGCTGTCTGCGCCGCCCGCCGCGTTGCCTGAGGATCGCTGTCCTGGCCGGCCTCGTCGTCGGTGCCCTCGCCGCCGTCTGTGAGCATCTCCTCGTCCTCCAGCGCAGCCAGCCGGTGCCTCGCCTCCCCGCCGCCCGCCGCCTCCGCCTGCAGAGAGAGTCCGGCGCTAGCGGTTCGGGCGAGCGCAGCGAGAGCTGAGGAGGGGAGAATGGATGCCTCTCGCTTGCGAAGATCCCTCTCCTTGAGGATCCGGTTCATCTCGAGGATGAACTTGCCCTCCTGTGCGGGGGAGGGGCGGGCGGGGTGCGGTGAGGGAGCCAGCGGCCGCGGCCGCGGCGCCCGCGGCTCCGTTGCACGCCTTGTACTTTTGTTGCTCCTCGTAGGCCTCGACGTACTTCCACCCGAGCCGCGTGTCGCAGCCGTTGCAATAAATGTCCGCCACCACGTGCAACCCGGTCAGAAGGAGCCGCTGCGGGCCGGGCCGAGGAGCAGTGGGCAGAGTGGGCGGAGTGTGGCAGTGGCAGCGGGGCGCGTTAGGGTCAAGCATCGGCGTGGCCGTGCGGAGAGAGGGCGCGAGAGGCCCGAGGCCTGGCGCCGCGAGGAGGGCGGCGAAGGGGCGGCGGCGCAGCTACGCGCACCTTCTCCGGCGGACCGTCGTTCACATTGATCACGTCTCCAAAGAGCCAGGCGTCGCCATGCCGGCCGCGGAACTGGCGGGAGACCACCTGGTCGTGAGCTGCCAGGTGCGTCGCACACAAGGCGCAGCAGTGTACGCTCTCCGCCTCGATGTAGCGCAGAAAGAGGCGGCCCATTCCGCCAGCTGCCCGCCCGCAGCGTAGCGGCCGCCCTCGAAGCTCCGCGCCTCGCCCCGCCGCCCGTTCAGCACGGCAGCCCGAATCGTGAAAAAGAATTTACCGTTAGAGTGAAGAAGAGGAAGGACCGGTGGGCCCTGATGTGACTATGGAGCACTTGGAGAGTCGTTGCTCGGGCTTGGACTGGGGCTTGGACTGCGACCGCGCGGTTTTCTTCTGAGTACCCTTATGGTGAGTGTGCCTGTCCGCGCCAGTCCGCGCCCTTGTCGTGCCAGTGTGCTGTGATCAGCTGGTGCCACATCCGTAAAATTGAAGCCAAGAACGTCCGCCAAATCCGTGCTAGGGAAAGCTGATCGAGCCCAGCGTGCCCGCGGCCGCCTCCCGCGCAGCACCGCCGCTGGGGACGACACGCTGCGGAATCGGATCGAGCCCATGCACGGGGCAAAGAAGGACGCTGCAGAAGCGGTTGGAGAGGCAGCCGGCGTCTGCCGTCACAATGAGTCCCAGCGCTGATTGGACATGCGCGTCGGCTCGCCCGAGGACACTGCTGTCGCGACCCTCCCGTCGTGCCGCAGCCTCCGACGAGCTCTGCAACCGAGGAGAGTGAGGGTGCGCCTCCCCTCACTGCTGGCCTGGCTGCGCACCGCCCCACAAAGCACCCCCTCGAGCTTTTCAACAAGTACAAGTAGAAGGGCGACCTTCTCCAAGTCGTCAACGCGCCCGGCGGCTCCGGCAAGACTTTAGCCTTGGCCATCCTCCTTGCGGAGCAGGAGGAGATCCGCTCTCGGTCTCGGCAACGTGGCAGCTAGTCGCGGGACACGGTAGTTGTGGACCCCCTGAGTGAGGACAGGAGAGAGAGAGCTTTTTTTTGTGGTGCTGGTGTACGCAATAACGGGACAGGGTGCTTGTTCTCTCCATCTCCCCTTCTAGCTCTTAGCATGAGCTGCGCCCTGTGTCCGACCCCTTTTGCGCAGCAACACCTTAAACTTTTAGGCCCTCCAAATTCGGGTCGGAGCGTAGCGGAGTGGGCCCCGAGTTTGAAAAGGGCGACGGACGCTTGCGTCCTAGCCTCCAACAACGCCTCCCCGGCGCAGAGGGGCCCCCGGAGGGATGCTCAACCGCACCACGCCACGCCGCTTGCGGCGGTCCTCTTCCCAGCTCCGCTGAGGTTGCCTGATTTCTTTATCCAGGTCGATTCCTACAGTCGGGGTGCGCCTCCCCGAGCTCGTTCCTCTCCCGCCCTTTTGCCCGCCTCCCACCCAATTGTCGCCTCACCCAGAGCAGGGAAAGAGGCGCCATGAGCGTGTCTGATCTCATCGAGAAGCTCGCCTCGACCCAAGCGGCACTGATCAAGGCGCTCCAGGAGGAGTACTTTTGCGATGACGTGGTGCCGCCGCAGTCCGCTTTTGGCTGGGACGCGGAGGCGCTGCGCGCCTACTTCGAGTCTGGCGGCGAGACGTTGCCTGCGAACGGCAGCGGTGGCAACGGAGCCGCGGCGAAACCGGCGGCGGCGGCGGCTCCTCCGCCGCCGCGCGAGCTCGGCCCGCCCGACACCGTCGCCTCCGGCCGGCCCATCTTCCTGGCGCTGGGCGACTCTCTGACTGAGTTCGGGCAGCACGTGTGCGACCCGACCTGGGACAAGAAGGCGCCCTTTGCCAAAAGCGAGCTGCAGCGGCGGCTGGACCCCGAAAATGATACACACTTTCTCCTGTGTAGGCCTCGTGCGACGTGCTGCAGCGGCAGGGTATGGGCGTGCGATGGACGTGTCATGGACGTGTCCTGTAGGCGCCGTTCGCGACGGACGTGCTGCAGCGGCAGGGGATGGACATCGCGATCCCGGAGCACGGCCCCGGCTGGCTGACGCTGCTGCAGCGCGACTACTCGTGGCGCCAGCTCGTCTGCCACGGCTGGAGCTGTGAAGAGGCGCCGCTCACGCGGCGTGTGGCGCGGGCAGGCGCACCTCCGCCGATGTGCTCAACCGCGGCTACTCCGGCTGCAACTCGCGGTGTGCGGATGAGACGCACGCGCCACGGCAGCGCACGCATGGCACCACTCACGCTGCCATGGCACACTCACGCCGGCGCTGGCAGCTCACTGCTGGGAGCGGGGCCTCGTCGCACGCGCCCGCACCAACGTGGCGAGCTCCCACGGCGCTCCCTCCGCCTCACAGGCTGCTGCGCGCGTCACTCAGCGAGATCCTCGGCTCAATCAACCGGCAGGTGCAATCTCGGGCAATCTCGGGTAGCCTCGGGTAGCCTCGGGCGGTCGCGAGCTCGGCAGAGTAATCGGCTCCGCCGGGCGGCAGGACGTCTTTGCCATCACGCTGAGCCTCGGCTCGAACGACCACGTCTCCGCCTCCCCGGGCGGCGTGCCGAAGGAGGAGTTCAAGGAGAACATGGCCGCCGTCCTCAGCTCGCTGCAGGAGGCGATGCCGAGCGCAAAGATCATCTTGATCACGCCCGGCCGGATCAACAAGGAGCTGCGAGGCGCGTCCCTCGACCCGTCCGCGACGCGCCGCCGACGCTCCCGCGGCTCTGCTCTCTAGGAGAAGTGGGCGAAGCACGTCTCGAGCGTGACTAACGGCCGGCTCGACGGGGCGGGGCGCGGAGAGACGCTGACGGGCGTGGTGACGCAGGGGTCGTCCGGCTCGAATAGCGCGCTCAAGCAGTACGTCGCGCTCGCGTGCGAGGCGCGAGGCAGCCGGGGCGGGGTCAGACACGGAGAGCAGACAAGGGGGGCAGCGACGGGAGCAGAGGCGGGGCAGAGGAGAGGGGAGCAGAGAGTGGGGCAGAGAGTGGGGCAGCGAGAAGGGCATGGCGCAGCGCGGGCCCGCACAGTGCTGCCCACACACACAAGCTCCGGCCCCAGTCCGGACGTGGCCGCTTGCAGGCGGGCGAGGCGGCGGGCCTCGGCACAGCGGGCGTCAACCCCGTCAAGGGCCCTCGTGGCGCGGTGCTCAGCGACATACCCCCCATCCCCAGCCCCAGACCACTCACGCCAGCCTCGTGCGCCGTGCCGACCTCTGCCGAGTGATGGCAAGGCCGGGACCAAGACTTGCCGGCGTCGCGCAGGTGCTCAACCTCAACTACATGATGCAGTACCAGCTGGCAAACTACCACGAGGCGGAGCACCCCGACGGGTACCACTTCTCCGCCAAGCTCAACCGCTTCGTCTACAAGTCCGTGCGCGACACGCTCGAGGGGATGAAGCTGTCGCCCGTCCAGATGCCGATGCACCGCCCCGCGCCGATCGCCGAGTTCCAGTCCACCGCCTCAAAGTACGGGCCGAGCGACGACGACGGCCGGCTCCGGAGGCGCGTCTGAGCACTCAAGCTGGAAGCCGCTCGAGGGTGCGTTGCCACGCGGACGAGCAGTGCTGTGTGCTATTGCGAGACGAGAGCTGCGCTGGGCGACAGAACGGCTGGGCGCGGGCGTCTTGAGCGGCCATCAGTCTTTTCATGTTTTAGCATGGTAGGGCCACATTCAATCTGCTGCATACACATCGAGATCTCTGCGGGACACCAGTAGCGTCTGGGGGGGCGACCCCCCCATCTTTGTTTACCGAATGCGTCTCTGGATTAGAGTGCGTCTAGTAGGCCTCCTACTTAGACGCTCGCTGTCCTCGGTATGCTCGAGCATCCTAAGATGCGCGAGTCTATATTAGTTGCTCCGCGCATCCCGAATTGCTCGCGGCATCTCCGATTGGCGTTGCTGTCTCAAAAGACGCGCCGTGCATACTGTGAACAGCGCGCGTGTCTCAGAAGACGCGCGCATATTTTGAACAGCGTGTGGATCTCAAGAAATACACGCACGTATAAAAACAAAAAAGAAAACGAAAACTCGGTGTGGCGAGCGCTGCGCGGCGGGCCGTGCCCCCGGCTGTGCGCCGCGGCTGCTGCGCTACTACTCGCACAGCCGCGGCGCGCCCACCCGAGCACTCGTGGGTGGGCGCCCGCTGCACCGACTCACACTGAACAGCACGCACAGGACACAGTCACAGAACACTGCCCCTGACGCCACTCACGGCCACGGGCTACTCAGACTTGGACACAGGCACCTCGCTTAGCACTCCGTGCACGTGGCTGCCGGTTGCCGTCACCAGCGCCGCTTCCTGCCCAGATCAAACACCTGCGACGTGGCGGAGGCGATGAGCGGCCCGCGGTCGCCGTGAGAGCGCGCGTGGTGGGCGACGGCTCACCGATCGAGCGGAAGCGGTCACGCTGTGGGGGCGGCGGAAGCGGTCACGCTGTGGGGGCGGCGGCGAGGCGGGCAAGCCACCCGCAGATCCCCAGAAGGACGCCGTCGCGAGGTCGAGGGCGGGCGGCGGGGGCGGCGAGAGCGAGGCGCGAGGCGCGAGGCGGTGTTGGCGGCGGCGGTGGCGCGGGCGGCGGCGGTCACGGAGCGGGGGCGAGAGGGTGGTGGCGAGCAAGACACCCGTGCGCGCTGCGCGGTCGCCGTTCTGACTCACATGCCTGCGGACAGCGCCGACGGGTGGTGAGGAGGGCGGCGAGCCGGCGGGCACGGTGTGCGCGCGGTCGCCGCGCGCTGGTGGGCGACAGCTCACCGAGCGAGGAGCGAGGAGCAGGAGCTGGAGCTGGAGGCGAGTCGGGATGCCCGGTCCCTCAAATCGCCAAGTCAAACAAGAAAAACCGCGCCGCTGGCCGACTCTCGGAAGTACGCTGTCTTCCGTGTCTAGGCGCACGCCCACGCCCTCAGCCTCGAACTGGCCCCGCTACCTGCCGCGCAAACTGGTTGGTGGGGGGGGGAGGCGGCGTCGCCGTCGGATCGTCGTAAGCAGTGCATGCAACTTTGGTCTTTGCTTGGCCTAAGCACAATATTCTCGAATATCTCCGAGAATATAGATGGTCCCGCGCACTTTCGTATTCGAGAATATTCTCGAGAATATAGATGCCCCGGCGCGGCTTTTTCTCAAGAATCTATGAGTTTTCTTCAGCCCTTGACCTTGGTTGACCTCGAGTCTCAAGATATTCTTGAATATTCTCGCCGTTACATCGCGGCGTCTAGAACGGTCTTGACTAGAGCTTCTCGAAACAGCTCTTTTGCCCCCTCAAAAGTAGGTTTTGGGTCGATGCAGACGGAAATCTTTAAGTTTTGGACGTTCCTGAGCGGTTTGGGAGCACAAACCTCTACTTTAGAGCGATTTTTGGCGTCCGCTGACCTCTCGCGTGGTGAAAATATTCTCAATATTCGAGAATATTCTCGAGAATATAGATGGTCTGGCGAGAATATAAGCAAAAGAATATAGATAGTACTTGGCGAGAAAAACGTGCTTAGGCTAAGTCTTTGCGCCCAGAGCTCGTGGCGCGAGCAGATGCATGCGCGGTGCTGAGAACCTGGTTCTCCAGGAGGGGCAGGCCGCGAGGAGAGACCTCACACGAGCACTCAAGGCAGGGCCCCCAGGGGGTGCCGAGAGATCACACCGCCTTTTCGTGCTCCCTGGCTCCCTGCTCCCCCCTCGGTGCCCGGTGCACCCGACACACGGTGTCTCCTGAGACGCTTCCCTGTCCAAGTATAGTAAAATGTGATCTAGTATGCAAGTGCCATCTCAGAACAGCTGTGCATCTATAGATGCTTGTGGCGTCTAAGATGGAACGCGTAACAAAAGACACGGCGCGGCTATCTCCAGGACAGCCATCGCATCCTAGAATGCCCTGTGTACCCGAGACACATGGTATCTTTGAGATGAAAAGTGCGTCCTAGAATGCGTTTTTGCATTCTAGGACGCATCGGTAAACAAAGATGGGGGGGTCGCCCCCCCAGACGAGATTTGTTGAGTGGCGAGATCGTAGATGCCGATCAGAGATCTTCCACACACAGCATCTCTCACAAAACTCAGAGATCGCTTTAACTGAAGATAGAGATCTTGAGCTGCCGCCATCGGCACCTCGAGATCTCATCTCTCAGGCCGGAGAGACGGAGCCTGTTGTTGTATAACTGTTTGACTTCGCGCCAAAGGCGCCTCACCCTCAGTCCCGCGAAACGACGCCCGTGAAGAGGCCACCCTCGCTTGGAAGCGCCTCTCCACAGGCCTCGCTTTCGCTCTCGTGCGCGACGCTGGCCAGGCCATGTAGGTGCGCGCTGCCGCCCAATCGACGCGCTCCCCCGCCCAACAACCCTAACCCGCCGGGCAGCGCGCCATCCAGATGGCCGCCCCGACCCTCACTTCCGGCTGATGTCCGTGTGTGAGAGAGAGATTTTTAGCAATACCAAACAACTCTAACACTCACACGCCGTGTGTGCGGCAGTCAGTGTTTCAATGTCTGAGTCTTGTCGGCATGATGTTCGTGATACGTGATGAGATCATCGCCATTCAGATTGCGATTGTGCCCGCATACAACCACATACATTCTCGTCCATGCCACTATATAAGCGTCAAGTCTAAAAACCAATACATCATCATAGTTCGCCTTCCTCTAAAAGAATTTAAACTCTAGGTAGGTAGGTAGAAAGGTGAAGAACAGCCAGGCTCGGACTGGACACCAACGCGGTATGGGTGGACGCTGGACAGATGATAAACTCTCTCTCCTCTAAAACACACTCCGCGAATTTCTTCAGAAAGAAAGAAAGAAAACAGACAACCCAAGGGAGGGATGGGAGAACGGCACGCCGCCACCACACAGGGATTTTAAGGAGAGGAGTGTGATGCGCTAGCCGTCGCCTACCCTAGGGAGTCTGCCTCTTCCTATCTCTCTTCGCAGTCTCTCTCCGATTCTCGCCTCAACCTTCGTGCCACCTCGCGGCCGTCCCACTCTCGTCGTTCTCTCTCTTGTCGCTTCTTCCTCTGTCGCTTCGTTCTCTTCTGCCTCGTCCTGCGGCGCCGCGAATTTCTTCAATAAATAAATAAATAAATAAATAAATACAACGGACATCCCAAGCTAGGGCTGGGTCGAGGACAGACATTTCTTCAGTGTGCTGTGAGAGAGGCGGAAGAATTCTTCATTTGGCCCTCCTCGCTTGCTGCAGACCGACAATATGCACATACATATATGCTGCGTCCAGCGTGCGCCTTCGCCCTCCTCGCCGGTTCCGTGGAGCCGCTTCAGCTGCTGCCGCCTCGGCAGCCACCGCGCACTTGCCGCGCTGCGGTATCCTCCGTTGTCTGCACAGCGGCCCAGCGCAGCCTGGCTCGCGACCTGAGTGAGGAGCAAAGGGCGGCCGCCGGCGTGCCCAAGGTGGCGCCTTCTGCGGCCGAGCACGCCCAGGTGCTGTTGGCGGACCTCATCGCCGTCGAGGAGCTGAGCGGTGCCGCGCCCGACACCGAGCTCTTTGAGCGCGCCATCCGCGCGCACGCCGAGGCGGGCCTGGTGGAGGAGTGCCTCTCGCTGCTGCGGAGGATGCGGCGCGCGCGCAAGACGCCGTCGCTCGAGAGCTACGCGCTGGTCGTCTCCGCCCTCTCCGCCGCCGGCCGGCCGCGCGAGGCCGCGCGCTGGCTCCGGCGCGTCGTCGAGCCGTCGGTGTCTCAGCTGCTGCTTCGGCGCTCAAAGGCGCCGCCTCGCCGCTCCGAGTACAACCGCGCGATGGCGGCGTACGGCGCGGCGGGGCTGCCGCACGAGGTGATGGAGACGCTGCGCACGATGGTCGGCGAGGGCGAGCACCGCCCCGACCTCCGCTCCTTCAACGCCCTCATCGCCGCGCACGCCAACGCCGGCGAGCTCGGGCCGCGGCGTCGTCTCCTCCAGGATCAGACGTCTCGGAGCCTCCTCGGACGCTCCGTAGGCCAGCCGGACCGCGCCGCCGCGGTGATGGCGGAGATGCGCCTGGCGCCGAACATCACCGCGGACATCCGCGCCCACTCGGCTCTGGTTGAGGCGTTTGCGGTGGCGGGGCGGGTGGCGGAGGCGGCGGGGGCGCTGCAGGCGGCGCGCGACGCGGGCCTCGCGCCGACAGTGGTGACGTACGCGTCTGTGGCCAAGGGGCACGCGATGCGCGGCGAGTACGAGGCGGCGAGCGGCGTGCTGGACCAGATGGAGGCGGACGGGGTGGCGCCCAACGTGAGATGGAGCCGAGAGGGAGCACAGGGGGAGCACAGAGGGAGCCGGGATGGAGCTGAGATTCCAGCGAGAGAGACTCGGGCGGTTGGGGCGAGGCGGCGCCGAACGCGGCACACAAGCAAGGAGCCGCTCCACGCAGCGAGGTGCTCCGCGCAGCCTGCTTTGAGCCTCTGCCGCAGGTGCCAACCTTCCACGCGCTGCTCTCGGTCTGCGCACGGGCCGGCGAGGCGGACGAGGTTAGGGTTAGGGTTAGGGTTAGGGTTAGGGCTAGGGCTAGGGCTAGGGTTAGGGTTAGGGCTAGGGTTAGGGCTAGGGCTAGGGCTAGGGTTAGGGCGGGCCGGCGAGGCGGACGAGGCGCCCGCGCTGGCGGAGCTCGGCTACACCACGGCTACACCTCGGCTACACCTCGGCTCCATCTCGGCTCCACCTCGGCTCCATCTCGGCTCCATCTCGGCTCCATCTCGGCTCCATCTCGGCTAGGCGCTCGCGCTGCTGCGCCGCATGGAGGCGGCCGGCGGAGGCGGAGGCGGAGGCGGAGGAGGCGGCTCGACGCTGGCGTACAACCTCGTGATTGGCTGCCTGCTGCGGCGCGACCGAGCGGCGGAGGCGGAGGCGCTGCTGCACTCGATGCACGCGGCTGGGGTGGCGCCAGACACGGTCTGTTTCTCCTTGATGACCTCGCTCGAGATCGAGCCGAGGTGTGGTGCAGTCGAGGTGAGCCCGAGGCCGAGCCGAGGCTAGGTCACTTTCTCTTCGATGATTTCGCTCTCGCCGGGCGCGTCGACGGCGCCCGCGCGCGCGGCGGAGTGGTTGGGCGCGATGAAGCAGCTCGGGCTGCAGCCGGACGCGCAGTGCTTCAACAAGGTGCTGGCGTGTTGCGCGCGCGCGCGGCTGCCGGAGCTTGCAGATGAGTGGCTCGACAAGATGGAGGCGAGACGCAGCCGAGACGCAGCCGAGATGCAGCCGAGACGCAGCCGAGACTCAGATGGCTGGCGGGTGGCTAGACGCGATGGGAGGCGGACGGGCGTGGCGCCCAGTCTCTCCTCCCTCTCGGCCCTCTCTCTGCTGTCCCTCCCCCCTTCAGGTGGCGGGCGTGCCGCCCAACTTGGTGTCGTACTCGACCACGATCGCCGCGTACGCGAAGACGGCGCAGCCGGACGAGGTACAGCTTAGAGGAGATGGAGCCGAGGCAGAGCCGAGATCTGGCACCAAAGACTAGCGCAGCAGGCGGCGGCGGTGCTGCCTTCTCTGGACCTCTTCTGAGCCTCGTCTGAGCCTTCTGCAGGCGGCGGCCGTGCTGCGCCGAATGACCGCGCGCGGCATCGCGCCCGACACGATCCTGCTCAACCAGCTGCTCGAGTCGCTCGTTCGCGCCAGCCGGCCGGCGCAGGCGGCTCGCCCGAGTCAGCCCTTCACTCAGCTAGTCGGCGAGTCAGTGGACTGAGACCCTTTGTGTGGCTGTGCCAGGCGGCGGCGCTCCTCTCCCGCTTCCGGCGAGGCGAGCTCGGCCCGCCGCCCGACTGCTGTTCGTACACGATCGTGCTGTCGGCACTCGCACGGGAAGGAGGTCGCGGGTGACGACGACCTGTTGACACCGGGGAGGAGTCATGGCTTAGGCGCTCGCGCGCGAGGGAGACGTCGCCCGCGCCGCGAGCTGGTTCCGCACCATGACGGCGGAGGACGGCATCGCGCCGGACCTGATGTGCTACAACGGCCTCATCCGCGGCTTCGCGGGCCAGGGCGAGCTCGACGAGGCGATGCGGCTATACGACCGGCTGCGGCGCGAAGGGCTCTCACCGGACGAGTGGACGTACGGGCCGCTCCTCGACGGTGCGCGCGCCGCCCGCGCCTCGCGGCTCGCGCGCTCGCTCGGCGCGCAGATGCTCGGCCGCTCGCCGCCGGTGCTCTCCTCCTTCTGCTTGGTCGCGCTGCGCCGCTCGATCGGCGCCTCGGGCCTGCGGGCCGTCTGCCGCGAGTGCGGCGTGCTCGACCAGCCCGCCGTGAGGCAGGCGCTGGGGAAGGCGCCCCTCCAGGGAGCCCGCCGCGGGTGAGGACTCTCAGGTCGTGTGACGTGCGTCGTGCCACGCAGGGAAATTAGGACCGATGTCTTGAGAGAGCATCAGCGTAGCTAGGAGAAAAACATGTGAGACGGCGCTGCCGATCCGTCTTGGGCGCTTTTCTCTTGTGCACTGCCACTGCGGCGGACCCACACTGGCCAGTCTAAACTTCAAGCCTTCACACACCCTCTGCCTCTCGCTACTTTAGTTAGGCCCATTTAATCCTTAGAAGTAACTTAGATCCGTCGGTGTACGCAGTACGGTGATGTTGTTCTACTTCTAGGCCCATTAAAATGGCCCATTTCAAAAAAAATGCTTTATTAATATTACAGCCCTTTCCTGCGAGACCCGCGTACTGTGTTAAGGAGCTCTCTGGGTTGTTCTAGCCGGTTTATCATGTGAACCTCAACAGCCCCGAGCGGCTCAGAGAGCGCCGACGGCCGAACGTGCCGGTCTGTCGTCGTCTCGGGCATCCCAAGAGGCCAAGGAACACCAGCAACAAATCCGCTACCGTACTGATGGCATCGGCGGTTAGGCCGCCCCACCAAAGTACGCATCAGAAAACGCCACATGGTCCTCGCGCAACTCCCCACGCCCGTCCAGAGCAGCCATAAAGTGCGGCGAGGCAGCCACGTGGCGCGCAACCTCTTCCTCGTCCTCGACCCGCCCCAAGCGCCGATTCTCGGCCTCGCGCTGCACGCACATCATCGTGAAGAGGCGCTCGGCGGCCGTGGCGTCGAGCGGCACGCCGTCCGCGCCGCATGCCGCGTCGAAGGCGTCGTTGGCGTCGTTGTCGTGCTCCTGCAGCAAGCGCAGCAGGTCGGTACGACCCACCGAGCGGCAGTACCAGAGTGCATCGCGCCCCTCGGCGTCGACGGCGTCCACTCTCGCGCCCGCGCTGAGGAGGAGCCGCACCAGCGCGGGTGTGACGTGCCTCGGCCTCTCTGCGCTGTCCTCCGCAATTTCCGCCTCGCCAGCAAAGCAGAGCATCAGCGGGGTGACGCCCGCCGCGTCGGCGGCGTCGGAAGCGGCGCCGCCCTCGAGGAGTGCGGCGGCGACCTGCACGTTGCCCCGCAGCGCAGCGGTGGCGAGCGCCGTGCAGCCGTTGTCATCATCGCGCCTCTCAAGGGTTGGTGCCGCGCCTGCACGCAGCAACCTGGCCACGAGCCTCGCCCCTGACGCGTCGGATGGTTCGCCGGGCACCGGCTCCGCGAGCATGATCAGCGGCGTGCACCCGTCCGGGCTGGCCAATGTGGGGTCGGCGCCGGCGCCCAGCAGGAGTTCGACCGCATTCTCGTGTCGATGCATCAGCGCGCGCAGCAGCGGCGTGTTGCTGAAAAAGAAGGCGTTGGCGTCTGCTGCCGCCTCGACGAGCGCGGCCATCGCCTCAAGGTCGTTGGCCTCAGTAGCCCAGAACAGGCTGACCTCGCGCCAGCGAGGATTGGCCGTGGTTTCGCCCTGCGCAGGGCACCACAGAGCAGCGATGCACATCTCGGAACCATCTGCTTCGCTGGACAGCATGTGCACCTTGCGGGCATCCGTTCGCTTGTCCGGCGGCACGTATAGCACGGTGCCCGCGCGGACCTTGAATGCTTCGGACTTGGCACTGGTCAGCGTGACTACCATGCCTGGCTTCAGCAGGGCCCGCAGCGCCTCGCACATGACCACCTCACGTGCTTCCTCCGTTGCGGCGCTGGCAACCTTGTCAGTCAGGCCATCGGCGTTGGCCTCCGTCAGCACGCTGCGCTCGACAAAAGACGCAACGAAGGCATCGAAGGCGCCTTCGACAGATTCGGGCGACGCCACCATGAGGGCCACGACGCGCTCCGCGTGCCGCCTATAGGGCCACGACGCGCTCCGCGTGCCGCCTAGAGGCGACTACGGCTTCGCCTTCTGCGCCTCGCCCCCCGCGCGTTCCTGAACTTCCTGCTCGCCCAACCGCAACCCCAACCCCAACCCCCCAGACCGCCCGTGCCGCCCCTCCTACCTGCCGCCTCGGTCACCCTCCCCGCCTCCCCGCGTCCCCGCCTCCTCTTGCCCTCCTGCGCGCTGCGCTGCCGACCCCTCTTCTCGCCTGTGTCGCTTCCCGGTCCCCTCGCCCCCCCGCCTCGCCGCTGGTGGTGGCGGCCGGCACGGCCTGCGTCGTTCCTCCTCCCTCCTCCATCCACCCACCACCCTGGGTGGGGTCTTTTGCATCCCTCATAGTCCGCCCCTGCGCGGCCATCGCGCATCGGCAATTCGGCATCGCCGCCGGCAGCCTCCGACTCCGCCCCTCCTCCGCCTCCTCAATTACCTCCTCCCGCGTGCCCGACTTTAAATAAATACACCTTGACGGAAAATTCTTCTCGCCAGTTAGTGCCAGTGCGCGCCAGTCCCGTGCCCAGTGTTGTGCGAGGGAGTTGGGTTGTAAAATTCTTCTCGCCAGCTCCCCCCGGGGGGTCCCCAGGATCGGCTGGTTTGGCTGCAGCATCGCCGGCCGGTGGGGTCTTTTGTTTGCATCCCTCCTAGTCCGCCCCCTGCCGCCCTGCGCGGCCATCGCGCATCGGCATCGCCGCCGGCAGCCTCCGACTCCGCCCCTCCGCCCCTCCGCCGGCAGCCTCCTCAATTACCTCCTCCCGCGTGCCCGACTTTAAATAAATACTGCGCGTCGGAAAAATTCTTCTCGCCAGCTCCCCCCCCCGGGGGTCCCCAGGATCGGCTGGTTTGCTGGGGCTTCGCCGGCCGAAACACCTTGGCGCAGCATATGCTAAACGCCATCGCCTCCCTCCTCTCCTCGCCGCCTCCGCCTCCGCCGCAGCCCGTGTCCAAGCTCCCGCCGTTCGAGCAGCTCTACATCTTCGCGGCGTTAATCGCGGGCCTGCTGCTGCTGCTCGCTGCGCAGCGGCCGCCGCCCAAGGGCACGGTGGCGCGCTGGCTGCCCGCGCCCGGCGAGAAGCGCGTGTACGAGACGTGGGTGCTGTGGTACTCGATCGTGTGGATGGGCGCGTTCGGTGTCATCATCGCGCTCGAACTGTACGAGGAGTTCACCGCGGCGACTTACTTTCTCGTCTGCGGCGGCCTCGCGGCGCCGCTAGTGCTGCGCGAGTTGGCGAGAGGCGGCGCGGACGGGCGGCCGCTGGGCGAACGGCACGGTGCGCGCGCGCAGCTTTGGATCGCCATCTTTGGCTTCATCGGCAACTACTGGTACACGCACTACTTTTACTGTGTGCTGCGCGCGCGCTACACGGCGCCTGCTCTCAAGAGGCGCGCCCCAACGCTGTCCCGACCCCGAGCCCCGAGCCGTGGGGCCTAGGTGCCCGCGTGGCGGCTGAATGACGTGCCCATCTGCATGTACCTCGCCACCCACTTTTACTTTTCCTCCTACCATGTCTTCGCCAACCTGGCGCTGCGGCGCGTCGCGACCGGCTTTGCGCCCGGCAACCTGCGCACCGCTCTGTTCGCGTACGTGGTGTGCGGGCCGGGTGGTGCGGTGTGCGCACGGTTCGGACTGCGCCTCCTCACCCACTCGAGCTGTGGCGCAGGTCTGCGCCCTCTCGTACGCCACCGCCTTCATGGAGACGCTCACGATCTCGCACTTTCCGTACTACGACTTTGAGGACCGGCACATGGCGTACACCCTCGGCTCGGCCTTCTACGGCATCTACTTCCTCGTCTCCTTCCCGGTCTACTACGCACTCGACGAGCCCGGCAACACGCCTCTCGAGGGCACCGGCCTCCGCGGCGTCGCCCTCTCCTCGCTCGGCGCCGGCATGCTGGTGCTGCTGCTGCTCGACCTGACACGGCTCGCCGCCGCGGGAGCTCCGCTCACCATCGGAGGCAAGCTGTGGGAGGTGACGCCGAAGGGACTGGCGGGGTCCGCCTGACTCCCCCCCCCGCCGCCTTCTTCCGTCCGGTGCCGCGCGGGTGAGCTTTTGCGTTGGATTTTTTTGGGTCCCACGTGTCGCCCATTTGTAGAACGGCGGGCCACACCTCTCCTCGTCAACACCTCTCCCCGTCTCTCAGGTCTCGCCCTCGCCCGCCCACCTCGCGTGCCTCGCCGCCAGCTCGCCCACGAGCAGCTCCTCCATCTCGACGCCGTCGGCGGCGCCGTCGAGCGAGAGCGGCGTGGTCGAGAGCGCGTCGCCATCGCTGGCCGCCACGGTGACCACCGTCACCTCCCGCTTGTACGTCTGCAGCAGGTTGGCGCACACGAGGTCGACGCCGTACTTTGCAATCGCGCCCGCCGCCTTGGAGAGGAGGATCGCGCTGTCCGTCTCAAGCTTGAAGCTTACGACGAAGGCGCGCGGCGCCCAGGCCGCGCCGCCGCCGCCTCCGAGCCCCTTGATCGCGCCAAGCATCTTTGGCACCGGCTGCAGCTGCAGCGTCAGGCTGCCGTCCGCCGCCGTGTCGCCGCCGCCGGCTGCCGACTGGATCTTGTGCTCCGGCAGCGCGTCGTCCGGCACGTAAAAGTCGCTGACAGCCGCGGCGAGGCAGACCATGGCGCGAGCACCAGCGGGCGCGAGCGCGCAGCTCGCCTCGCGCAGCAGCGCCAGATACTCGCTCACCGCCGTGAAGGGCAGTGCGAGGAGGCGCGGAGCACACGCCGAAAATGTCGCGGTGGCGCGCTCGCGCTCGGCAGTCGCGGCGGCGTCGCCGAGGCTGCGGAGCCACTCCTCGGGCGAGACGGCCGGTGGCAGCAGGCGGCGGGCGAACGGGAAGGCGGAGCCGGCGCGGTGCACAAAGATGACAGCATAGCCCTCGGCGAGAAAGCGCTCGGCGAGAGCAGCCCCGCGGTTGCCAGTGGAGAAGTTGTCGATGAAGCGCACCGTGTTGCGCTCCAGTGGGACCGTGGTGCCTCCCGAAGTGACACACACGATCCGACGCGTCGACGGCTGCGCGGCGACGAAGGCCGCCAGCCGCTCGGAGGCAGTGTCAGACATCTTTTCCAAAACCGACTTCGCGGGCGCTTTTCGGGCTCGGCGAAGCGCTAGAATTCTTATAAGATACAAGCCTCTCTCACAGCACACTGGCACGACAAGGGCGCAGACTGGCGCGGACTGGCACACACACAGGCTCACACTAGCACACGCCAAAGGTTTTTCTTTCGGCCTGCTTTTTGCCCGGCCGCGCGCAGCGCTAAGCGGGCGTCCTTTTTATCGGGCGTCCTTTGCCACTCCACGAGCTGGATAGCCGCCCAAAAATCTGCCAAAAATTAGGAAGCCGCCGGATATAACTGGGGCCCCGGACGTAAGTGGGGCGGGCCCGGCAGGTGCACCGGCGGGCCCCGGCCGGGTCAAAAGTGGCCGCTCCCGGGCCGCCGAGCGTGCTTTTGCCGGGCCGGTTTTCTCCTCGCCGGGCCCGCCTCGCGCAAAACAGGCCCGGCAAACCCGCCTGTCCGGGCCCGGCTGTGAGTGAGCGGGCCGGCCTATGTGCCGCAGACGGGCCCGGGCAGGACGGTTTGCCGGGCCGGTTTTCTCCTCGCCGGGCCCGCCTCGCGCAAAACAGGCCCAGCAAACCCGCCTGTCCGGGCCCGGCTGTGAGTGATCCGGCCGGCCTATGTGCCGCAGACGGGCCCGGGCAGGACTGTTTTCTCCACGCCGGGCGCCCGGGCCCGCCTCGCTCCTCGACCTGCTGATTTGGGCGCTTCGGCCCTGGAGTGGCAAGCCGGGCCCGGCAAAGCGCGCGGGCCGGGCCCGGGAGGGGCAAGCCGGGCCCGGCAGGGCGCGCGGGCCGGGCCGGCAGGGCGCGCGGGCCGGGCCCGGCAGGGGCCCGAGCCGGCCCGGCCCACTTTGCAAATCGACCCGTTTCCCATCCAATATCTCCCACTCGGCCGCGGAGGCCCCAACTGAGAGCGGGGCCCGGGGGAGGGGGTCCCTACTGGTCGTGCCCACCCCTCGCACGACCCCGGGCGACAGCGGGGACCCCGCAGCAGCGAACCCGCGCCACTTACGACCAGTATTTTGAGATGATGGAGAGGGGGGACGACACTGCTCGATCTACCCTCTGGGGTCCCTCAGCAGCGTGCACCTCGATCCTGTACCGTGTTTGTTATGACCCCCCCCAATGAACACACCAGTGAGGGTGGGCGAGACGATCGAGGGGTCCCGTACCATGCGGAATCGACCCTATCCGGTGCTCAAGTGCTCAAGGGGTCAGGGCTCTCTAGCCCGTAGCCCGATGCCGATCATCCGGCTCGCTGGGTGCGCTTCTTAGCTCCCCGGCCCTGGATGTGAGGTTGCCGACTGCACTCCAAGTGCTCCAAGCCCCTCCGTCCGACGCGCTCGTACACCTAGATCGCGGTTCGTCCCACGCCGGATGTAGATAGAGCTCTACAGCTCTACAGCGCTCCAGAGCGCTCTACATCTCTACAGCTCTACAGCGCTCTACACTCTACATCCTCTATACCCTCCCTCAGGACAGATGGCCGATATCGCAAATAGCTCGGACGTCTACCGCTGCCGCGCCTATAGCATACAGTCGCTGGGTGCGGACGCAAGCTTGGTTCGCGTGCTGTTCTCGTTTTCGTCGGTGCGGTTGCCACGGTGGCAGGAGCGCAGCTGAGCCGGAGGCTGTCCTGCGCTCACGCTGAGCTTCGTTTGCGTTTGCGCTGTGGGCTCGGGTCTGCCACCGAAGCTTCCTCCGCTGTAGGTGTGAGATGCCGCGGCTTTACTATTCGCTCTGTATCCGAGCTCTCTCTCCAGCGAAGGCTGCAGCTTTGCTCGTGGTACACATCCCGGATGCTGTGCCCGCAAAAAAGATTTTTAATGTCGGACAACGCTGGGCACGGGACTGGCGCGCATCGTCCTTCCAAGAAGGCTCGAGCAGGTGGGGACCTTGTCCTCCTCCCATCCCATCGTTTGAATGATTCTTTCTTTCTTTTTCCCCTGTGTCCCTGATCGTCCTTCCAAGATCCTGCTCGTGCAGGTGGGGACCCTGTCCTTCTCCCCCCCCCTCGTGTGGCGTACACTTTTCAACAAAAACAAGTGTCCTCTCGAGTCGGTCGCGGGTCGGGAGCAGAGCCAGAGGTTGGTCACGCCTCGCGCGCAAAGTCGCGCGCGGCAGCGAGCAGCGTCGACCGCACGGCCTACTCGCCCAAGTACTCGCTCTCTTTTATGTCCCACCATGCAGAGCGCATCTCTCTCTCTGTTGTGCGAGGCGTGAACCGCGCCATTCGCTCTCACCTGGCAACCCTGTCTGCACGTCTCGCGCGCGCGTGAACAGGGCTCCAGGCCCCAAATTACGTGTGAGTGTTAGAGTTGTTTGGTATTGCTAAAAATCTCTCTCGCACGCACGTGATCAGAGAGAGAGAGAGAGAGAGAGAGAGAGAGAGAGAGAGATTTAGCAATACCATTATAGACTCGGTCGAGAGACCCCAGATTGGCATCCATGCCTTTCTGGACAGGGTGGCCCGCCACAAGGACCTCAGGAATTGCGACTCGCCGCTTTCCTCCCGCTGTGATTCTGTGTGAGCTCTGTGTCTTGATTCGCGAACAACAAACCTTCTGTGAGTTATCTCTTAAGTGCCGGCCTGAAGATCCGCCCGAGGATCTTCGGCGCAGGGCGCCGTCACCGGCCCCATGAGCCGCCTGCGAGGCCATTCAGTGCTCATGTGGCACGGCCTGAGCAGGCCTAGCAATGCCTCGGGCCGACCGGCGCCCAGAATTGTTGGTGCTGGCCAGCAACGTGGCCGGCGAGTGCCGTCGTTGCATTGGTGGCGACCACCGCAGAAGCGGTCAGCAGGTGGGAAGGCATCGCTCTCTTTGTAAGGATATTGTCCGTATTCATTGTCTGGTCAATACTTCTGCCTGGATGGCACCTGTGTGCCCAACATGGCGACCCTCGGCCTCCCTCGTGAGTCCACCTCACGCTGATCATTCTCGTCGCTAGCTCAAGCCGAAAAGTGGTCCACCGACACCAGGAGGAGCGCAACCATCATGGCTGCAGCCTCAGACTGACCGGGTTAGGTCATATTACCGGCGTGGTGGCCCAGAAGCGCGACATTTGCTGCCCGCAGAGCGCTAGCAGCCCACTCTCCGGCACGTCTGTGCGTCGTGCGGGGCTGAACTTCAGGCACGCTGCACGCGGCTTATCGTCGAGAAGAGCTCAACCCCGGCCAGTGAGTGATGGATCTGATCATAATCAATCCCTACTGTACTGGGGGGCTCTCAGATCAGCCGTTCAGAGCTCTGATATTGGTTCCCGGCAGAAGATCCTCCAGAGGATCTTCTGCCGTCGGCCAAAAAACCGTGTTCCAACGAGACACAATGACCCAACAATGACCCCCACGGCCAGCCTGGACATGCAGCCGACCCGGCCTGGCCAGCTGGGCCATCGGGGGGGCCGGCATCGCCCGTAGGACCGCGCTGCGGTGCCGAAAAGGGCTGGAAGATCCGCCAGCGCCTCCTCGGCACTAAAGAGATACCAAACATCGTCAAGAGGTTCTTTTGTTTACGCCCGCACTCATTACTAATCGAAAACTACTCCCGATTCCATCCATGACCATGTCTGTTGCACGCCTGCGCTTCTTTGCCATCGCCATCTTGACAAATGCCCTGCTGACAACCGGCGCGGTTGCCGAGAAGGTGCAGAAAACTCCGTTCGCGGCCATTGCACCCTTTGCCGAGGTGCAAGCCCCTGCGCTGCGCGCGCCTGGTCCCAAGCCCCGATTTCCTGGCAACACCGCCAGTCCACCATCCCCAGTTTGCCCCGGGGCTCATGCGCCCCGTCTCATAAACCAGGAGTCGCACACTTGGTCCCCTCGCATTGGCTGGGAAGGGGACACGGTGTGGCAAGGCGAGCAGGGCCTGCCGGTGCCGCTTTAGCCCAGCAGTAAGCCTGGCTGTGTCGACGGCCGACAGGCGGCCGGCCTCTCCGATCGCACCCTCAAGCTCTTCTTTGGCTACAGCGCCCTCGAGCCTCCTCCGGCTGAGCTGGCGAAGCCGCTCGAGACGATGGCAGCGCGGTCGGCGATGGCGTCCGCGCGGTCGTTGACGGGCAGGTCATTCACCATCCTGGACAAGAACCTCGAGAGCGGATGGGGCTACTACGAGTCGATCAACGACAAAGAGTCGACAGGTGCATGGCGGAACAGGGACCCGTGCGGTGTGACCAACACGCTGTCATACGAGGCGGAGTTCTTGTACATGAGCGGAATCAGCCTGACCTGCGAAGCGCCAGGCTGCACACACCCCATCATGCCACCAGAGAGAGGAGGCGCGTACCGGAACATTCTCGTCGACATCTACATCCCGCCGTCCTTGAACGGGACTTGCGAGGACGACGTCTTTTTGATGGGCACTACTCAGGAGGAGGCAGCAATGGAAAGCGACGCTGGCGACTACTACACAGATGCGGAGGAGTGTTCATCTATGTGGTCCTTCTGTATGACGCGCACCATCTTCACACGGATCGCGGGGACAGTCGTGAACGCAGCCATGGGCGTGTGGACTTGGATGAAGGGGGTAGGGGCGTGGTTCCGCCGCGGCTTTATCGAGCTCTTTGTGGAGACGTACGAGCTCCCGCAGGTTGACGAGTCGGGGAAGACCGCCAGCTCGCCTGGGGTCGCTTGCAGAGCTGGGTTCTCGCGCTGCATCGAGCCGCTGCCAGAGGGGTTGTCGTACCAGCTGAGCGGAGGAAAGGGCTCCAACATTGCCTCACAAGTCCACCCGCTCGACCGCAACAACCTCATCGTCCAGGCAAACCTGGGGCTGTACACGCTGTGCATCCCGATTTGGAAATCGGTGCAACCTCCTGGACCTACCTTTGAGGGGTGGCGCGGATTCACCCTCATGAACAGGCGGCGCGTCCAGGAGACGGCGGTGTCAGAGCCGCGCCCGAGCCTGATGAGCAGAATGGGCTTGTGGTGGGCAAAGCCCGAGACGGCACCAGCGGTCCAGGAGGAACCGATCCGTTTCTTTCTAGACAGGGTGGAGCTGATTGATCACTCTTGCTGAGGGGCTTGGTGTTATAAAGTACCCGGGGCACGCCTGTGTGGATCGCGTCACACCAATCCGCGCTAACCCAACGCGGCCAAACTTGGAGCACTTGGAGGTTGGCAGCCTCAGGCACTCACACCCAAGGCCGCGGGGGGAGCTAAGAAGCGCACCCCCCAGTGGGTCGGATGATCGGGGTCGGGTTGCGGGCTAGAGAGCCCTAGCCCTGGGGAGGTGCGCGTTCGCGGGGAATGGGCCACAAAGTAAACACGGGTCTCCGAGGCGCGAGGGTTAGTTCCGTGTTTCCCCGCCTTAACTCTAATACGAGAATACACACCGCCAGTGCTCAAACTTTACCGGTATGAGACTGGTATTTGGCGATATTTTGATTAGTTTTGGAGTGGTATGGTATAGTGGTATGCGAAAGTGGTATGCGGGGTTTTCAGTAGTTGTAGCGGCTGTCGGTGTGGTCCCGGGGGCGAAACCATGCAAAAGTGCGGGTCTTACCCGGGTATACCCGGGTTTTTCCAGGTATACCCGCAAAATACCCGGTATTTTGCCGATTTTGCCGATTTTGCCACCAAGAAGGCACTCCGACTCGCTTTGATTTCCGTGAGGCAACTGGTATCCCGTACCACTTTTTGATTAGTGCAGGCCTTGGGTTTGATTAGCCAAAAACTCCCATACCGGTAAAGTTTGAGCACTGCACACCGCCCCCCCCCGACGGCCCACGCAATTTACATAAACTACTAACAAACTCTACTTGACGATAATACGAGGAGGGGGCGCGATTGGTGTACCTGTGTTAGTGCCAGTGCGCGCCAGTCCCTGCCCAGTGTAATAAATAAATAGAGCAGTCATCTCTCTCGAGGTTCTCGAGGTGGATATCCTTTGTGGCCGCGTTGGGTAGCGCGAGGATAAGAGCAGTCATCTCCAGGAGAGATGGGCGACGCACGAACACAGAGGCACAGTGCGCACCCCGCCCCGCTCTCACAGGGCGTGCATCACCCCCCCTGCCCAGTGTCGTGCGAGAGGAGTTTGTGATAAAATTCTTTTCGCGTGAAAAGGCATTCAGCGCTGGCTTCTGACTGTCGTTGCTGTCTCTCCCTTCTCGACTGTCTGTGCTTGTGCGTCTTGGGTCGGGGGTTGTGTTTTTGTGTGAAGTATCCCCAGGGCCTCCAGGGCTCGCACCTCAACCTCTCACAGACCCCCCAAAAAAGAAAGAAAACATGGGAGGGATGGGAGGACGGCACGCCGCCACCACACAGGGATTTTAAGAAGAGGGGTGTCGTGCGCTATCCGTCGCCCACCCTTGGGCGTCTGCCTCTTCCCATCTCTCTTCGCAGTCCCTCGCCGATTCTCGCTGCAGACCAGAAAGAAAGAAAACAGACACCCCAAGGGAGGGATGGGAGGACGGCACGCCGCCACCACACAGGGATTTAAGGAGAGGAGTGTGGTGCTAGCCGTCGCCCACCCTCGCGCGTCTACCACTTCCTATCTCTCTCCGCAGTTTCTCACCAAGCAGACCAGGCGCACGGCACCATATAGGGTATTTTCTTCTAATAACCAAGGCTGGAAGGCATTCGCGCCGCCACCTCAACACTCGGCCTCTCGGTCGCGGCCGTCGACTCTCGGCCGACGGTCCGCCGATGCTGTCGAAGAGGAACCTCAGTCTTCTGCTGCTCCCGTTTGCAGGCGTGCCGCTGTTTCAATGGGCGCGCTCAATGCCGCAGGCGGATCTGCACGACAATTCTCCGCATGCACCAGATGCAGCTACTCTGGCGCTCATCGCTGCTCGCACACGCGCCACAAACGCAGCAGCTGGTCGTGCGGACGTGGCAAAGGTCAAAGCCGGAGGCGTCAGTGGTGGTGCCAGCAGCAGCAGTGGCGGCAGCAGTGGCGGCGGCAGCAGCGGTGGTGCCAGCAGCAGCAGTGGCGGCAGCAGTGGCGGCGGCAGCAGCGGTCGCAACATCTCCGGCGTGGCAGTGCAAGGGTGTCCCGCATCGCGCAAGCCGTTCCACGTGGTGCTGACCGCCACGGCGGACAACTACCAGTCATGGCAGTGCCGCATCATGTATCACCACTGGCAGCGCGTGCGGGACTCAGACCCGGCGGGCCGCTGCACCGAGCTGACCGGCTTCACGCGGCTGGTCGCGTCGCCAGGCCATCGGTTGGCCGGGCTCGAGGGAGGGGGAGCCGGAGCCTTCCCGAGCCTTGCGTGGTCCCCTTCCTAGGCGGCCGTCCGGACGGGCTCGAGGCGGAGATACCGTCGCATTTCACGCCCGAGTGCGGCTCCGCGGATGTTTCTCTCCCGTCGCTCGTCGGGGCCTTGACGCCTCTGCTGTGCGGCAGGTACGAGCCGGCCGACATCTCTCGCTTCCACGGCTACCGCGTCATCAACCGGCCCCGCAGCGTCACTTACTTCCTCAAGTCGGCCCGGTACGCCGCGCTGCAGGAAGAGTACCTCCTCGTCGCAGAGACGGACCACGTGCTGCTGCAGCCCCTCCCGAACCTAGACACTTCCTAGACACTTCCTAGACACTTCCTAGGACCACGTGCTGCTGCAGCCCATCCCGAACCGCGCCGAGCGCGGCTCGCCGATGGCGTACCTCTTCGGCTACATGGGCCCCAACCCGACCCACGCGCCCTTCATCAAGCGGGTCTGGCCGGCGGGCGGCGAGGCGGGCTACAAGCAGGTGCAGTCGATCGGCCCGTCGCCCGTGCTCATCCACAGGGCCGACCTCGAGGAGGTGGCAGGGCCGTGGAGCGAGACGGCGGTCAAGCTCAAGACGGACCCGCAGGCACGCACGCCACACCCTCGGCTGTGCGGTCGAGGTTGGGAGGAGCTGGTCGGGATGGCTGACAGCATTGATGATGCCTTCAGGCCGACCGCACCCTCGGTGGGGTAAACAAAAGGGGGGGATATTGGATCCCCCCCCCCCCAAAGGGGTTTCCCCCCAAGTTTCCCCCCCCCCTCCAGGTGAAAATTTTGGTAAAAAAAGGAAAGGGGGTTCCTTGGAAAAAAAAGGTTTTTCCGGGGTTTCAAGGGGAAACGGGGGCCCTTTTTTTTCCGGGGGGAGGGAAAGTTTTTATTCCTTCTTCCCCCCCCCCCCCCCCCCCCACACACACACACACACACACACACCCTCCGCCCCGCAGCTGGACGGCTTCCCTCTCCGCTACTGGATCTTCCACTACACCTACCAGTTTGAGTACTACCTCGACGGCACCCCCTGCCAGCCGTGGACGATCGGCGAGCTCCGCCCCCCGACAAGCGCCCCCCCCCCCACCCCACCCCCTTCTTTCCCAGCTCGCTCCTCACCACACCCATCCACTCACCCCAGGCGAGTTCTCCCTCGACAAGCGCCACTTCTCCGCAGAGCCGCCGCCGTACCCGCTGCCCGACCCGCCGCCCGGCGCAAACAAGGCCGCCTTCTTCCTCGTCGGCGCCTTCAACGAGGCGATGCGCGCGCTCGGCACCGCGTGGCCGCGCCGGCAGCCCGCCCCCGGCTCGAGCGAGCCGCCGCTGCAGTCGGTCTACGGCCGCCGCAGGCTGTTCTTCTTCGCACGCGCGCTGTTCTTCCTCGCGCGACTCGGCCGTGTTTCTTTTTCCGCGTAGGCTCGACTGGTTTGGGCGGCACGCAAACGGCTTCGCGACGGAGCTGCGCACGATGCCGCTCATCAAGCGGCTCGTCGGGTCGGAGTGGGCGTGCGAGGACGGCTCCTCGCTGCAGCTCGGCGGCAATGGTGACGCGCGGTGGCGCAGCGGTCGCTCTGGCCGCTGGGGCTCGATGAACAACCCCGACTTGGGCGGCGCTTGTCCAGTCGGCGCGTGCATCTATGTCGATGTCAGCGGGAGCCACAACGTTGCAGTCAACGGCAGCTCCCTGACCGTTATGCGTCTATTCTACCGCACCGCGAGCGCGACGCCGGAGGTGGTGGCGCGCTGCCACCGCAGTGGAGGCGGGGCGTAGACTAGAGTTTCGAGAGCGCGGGAGATGAGAGAGAGTACGGTGTGGATCTCTCGTCGCACGTCGGTCTCGAGCCTGCTCGGGCTCGCACGCACGGTGTGTGCAGAGTGTGGCGAAGTGGATCGTTATTTTGGTACATGAGCCTCCGAGGTGTAAATAAAAAGGCGGCCTGGTAAGGTAGAGTAAGGACTAAGGTAAGGTAAGGCACGATGACACAACCCACAGGAATAACTACTTGTGTCACTAATGTTCGAACAAGCGGTCGTGTCGTGCACCTCGGGTGTTGGGGAGGTCGTGGGAGCCGCTCAGGACCATTTTGGGGGCGCAATTCGCCTGGTTTCCCTTGAACATGCGGTTTCGCCCCCTCGGGAGCGCCCACATAATCGCGCGTCCCCCCCTGTGGCGACGGTCTCGCGCACCTGCGCCAGACCCCACCGCACTAGCTACATAGATCGTCAGCAGTAGGCGTGCTCAGAGCCCGGATTTGGGCCCATTCGCCAGAGGGCTCGAGAATGGCCCCCGGCAACGTGCAGCTGCAGGCCAGAGGGCAGTGAGGTGAGGCCGAATCCGCAGTCGCACGAGCACCGCTGCCCCCAGCGGTGATCATGCATGGAGTGGCACGGCGGATAGGCCCGCCTGCGAGCGTGGAAGACAGTCGCGGGGCGTGAGGTCTCAATGTATCGCAGGCTAGGACCGGATACGGCGGCAGCGGGAGAGGGAGGGAAGCGTGAGCGGCGGGCGATGAGAGTGATTTCCCCGATCTCGCTAAAAATGGCCTAGTCCCCTCACGGGGGGCCGGGCGAGCACGCACCTCGCGTCTGAGCGCGAGTCGACGAGTGGTCGCCGAGAGATCGCCGAACAACGGTTCGTGGTGCGCACGCACTGCACAGCTGCGGGTTATAACTCGACTGCCGATCGCGCGTGCGGGATGTAAATGCAGCTTTCTGGCGCCAGGTGCACGGTGGCAGGGACTGGAGGCTCGGCCAAAGGGGAAGAGCAGTCCTCAATCGTCACGTAGAGGTCGCTAGACTGGATCCATCGAACTGCCTCACACCTGGAGCGGAGGCACATCAGGTCTTGCGGCACGCTCTCCGACAGATGCATGCCTTTTGAGCAAGCCCACGCGCCTCCACCGTCGCGTAGTATGCCAGCGGCACGCCGGTACGCCTACGAGTCGTGCGCGCTCGGCAGTAATCGGCGTTGAGACTGCCTAGTGCGCACATCGAGAGCGCCGAGTTGCCTTGCCGCGGGGTAACCGGCTCAAAGAGGTGGGGTTCGAGCGGCGCCTGAGCGCGTGGGAATGCGTAGTGGGCTTGGAATGAGACGCCTGGCGTGCATCGGGCTCGGACGGTGTCTGTTGTGAGCTCACCGCTCGACGCACAAACCAGGCGCTTTAGGCGCCCGCCAACTGGCCTCACGGTCGAGAGAGCGGAACGCGGCTCGCCGAACAGCAATACACGTGGCCGCACTACTATAGAGGTACGAACAGGTATGCAGATCGCGGCGCGCCGACTACTGGCACGGCGTCAGAGCCAATGTTGACCGAGGGCTCTGCTGCCTGCCGACTCTCGCCGGCCCTCGGGCTCACACCACGGCTGGGCATCGCGTGAACAGGACGTGCCCCTTCGTTTTAGGGCAGTTCAATACCTTCCC